GTATAGTACAGACCATATGAAAAAGGACGTGGCTATTGTAACCCCTTAGWTTATAGGATGTTTAACGTATCATTACTGTCCGTTGAAAGAACATATTTCAATGAATAAGATCTGAAAGTTTATGCTTCAACATTTATAAGGACCAACAATTACAGGTGTTTGTAATTGCAAAAGTTTGAGTGAGAAACAGTATCGAGGCCTTACCAGCCTCGTTTTCACGTTTTTAGTAAAATTCAAATGATCGTAACTCTGCTGATATTGTTACAACCAGAATTTGGAGTTGAGACTTGTGGGATGTACTCAAATAGAGCCGGTACTTGGATCAAATAGGTTTTATCAGAAAGACACCAAAATTTTACCTTACACCTTGCTTGCAGCTTACAACTCTAGACTATACAATTTCAATCTACCTTTTTATAGTGCATATTTTACAAATACAAAAAATGACAGTAATTGGCAAGCTATGTTGAAATTTGATTGGCTAAGACATACTTTTGATGGGCTTACTAATGATATGTGCAAACTCAACTGAGGGGCAGAATATAAAATTGCTATGCCCCGAGATAGTTCTAAGTTTAATTCAAGGATAAAATTAAGATAGGAAGCTCTAATAGGAAACTAACTTCCTATCAAGTTGTATTGAATAGATGTTTGAAATAATGAGGCTACAAGGCTTTAAACTAGCGATGGGCGATAGGAAGTCGCTCAGAGGTGTACACTTTCAGAGGAGGGGTCTAGCTTGTTTTAGGCCAACAATGCAAGTTTCGTGCAAGCATGCTGGGAAATCCAGATTATGTTTACTATCGAAATAAACAAAGTGCCTTGTAATCTCATTATGTTTTCAATCTAGGTTCTTATTTGAAAGCTTAATGAAAGATTCGATATAGAAAGAACTGGCAAGTGAAACCTAAGACACAAGTCGCAACTAGTGTTTAAACATAGCTAGAGTTCATATAATTCAAGCAAACTAGTGTGGAAAACCTTTAAGATAATAACCTAAGTTGTCTTAAAATCCTATACGAACTTTGAAACAGGTAACAACAATGCAAAGACGTATTGTATGAAACGGATACTCTATCTAAAAACTAATCATATTATGTCAAAAAGGAGGTATTTGTTTTACTGTAATGCAAGGCACAGGTAGTATTTAATCATAACCAGATGACTAGCTCACTAGAACATTCTAGAACATACCAAAACTTACTAGAAATGATTTTGAAAATATAAATACAAAAATGTAGTTAACATATCCTTTTTCTTATGGTGAACACAGATTTTTTTTAACATGGACCATTTAAGTGGCTCATTCCCAGTCGTTTTTCATATGGTCAATGATACGCAGGTTTGGGGGATAATGGCGGCCTCTAAGTTTACGAAAGACCAATAAGGTTTAGCTCCCTCCCTTCAATTATGTCGTCCCTTAATGATAATAATGAGATATATTACTCATTGAATTNATGGTGAGTTATTTAATTAATATTAAAAGTTGAGTGGGTTTTACAATTTAAAAATGGTCGTCTTTAAGCCTAACAGCTTGGGAATGATCACTAGCCAGGCGCCAAATTCAACAAGTACATTGGGAGACCTAGATCTCGCCCAAAATATACTTCAAGTTTGCATTAAAATTATAGGCAGCGGCATTCTCGTTACAAGATTCTCCTCACTCAAGAATACACCATTTTCCTGTTCGATTCCAGCGTCAATTTAATCGAGCTTTTCATCAAAGCCAGACACTATTAGAAATTGGTAATGATAGATGCCTTCCAATGATTTTCTGCCAGGTGTCAATGAATCTATCAATGCAGGTTTAACAGGCCATTGTATTGCTTTGATACAACTCGGCTATCTTTCAAGATGGCACTCAGAACGTTATAATGGAGTAACAGAACATGGCCAGTTTACTGAATATACAGTTAGGGTATACACTGTAATATTTTGTTACTGGATTTGAGTCCCGGACTCCTTGATATAATAGGGCGGGCGTCCTCGTTGTCCCTTTTAGGGTTTGAAATCTGTGTTATGGTCCCGCTTAGGGTGATAGTGACGAGAATTCCCACAAACAAAGTTCTGTGGTCCCTTTTAGAGTATACGACGATCACCCTAAGACGTCATCATATATTTTGTATATGACAACGTCGTCATAAACTCAATATGACTGAGCCAACGGCGTTTGATGATTTTGCAAAAAAAGACAAACAAAATCGGGAAACCAAAACAAAATAAGCGTTTTTTGATTGGTCCCCTTAAGGGGTGAAATTTCAGTGCTGTGACGCTCACCATCTCACACTAAAGGGTCATTTTAGGAATCATTTTCAGAATTTCCTTTTTATAGGAAAGCCCCCCCCCCCCAGTTTTTAAATTTCCACAGTTGATGAAACAAGGTACAATTTTGTTTCCCAGAGAGCTTGCAATCCAAAGAAAACCTACGTGTGGATAATACAGGAATCTGTGAGTATACTAATACTAATACTGTTTATTAAGGCCACTAGCAGTAATGATGATACTGAATTACAGGCTTGGTAAATAATTGGAAAAGGACAAAAACACTTATATTTGAAATTTTACAGTTACAAAATTTTGTCTATTAGTATGCACACGATTGGGGCGAAGATTATTTCCAGATCTTAAAGACATGCCATGACAAGAGGTTACAACTCGATCACTAAAAATTGAAAATTGGGTTGTCTTTGACTCTGATGTCCCTAACGAATTCCTTACACTTCTCATTGCGCCTTTGCTCGAGAGTTTTCAGCTTGGCTTTAATGTATAATGTATATGTATAGATGCACTGTACTGATATGTCGAACCAAAATCTTACAAGGGTCAAACTCCGGATTTAATGCATCAAACTTTTAAGTTAAATTATCTTTACATTGATTTTCATGATCAAGCTTTCGGGAGCTTTTATAAAAAAAAGTGCCAATGGTAGTTTGAGGTAAAAACGATGCATGTTTTGAACAAAATGTCAATTTACGAGGACTGGAAATGACTTTATATTACACCCGATTTCAAATGAGTGCGAACTCTCGAATTTTTTTTGAACGCTAAACTTTCACTCGACCGTCATTCACTCGACCGCTTGGTAGCCAGGCACACGTGTTTTGTAAGTGATGCGTGACTTTCTGTAGCGGGACTTTCGCATTTAGAATTATGGAGGAAGAAGCGGTGGTCTTTGTTCGAGATATCTGTGGTCCTTGTGTTTCACAGAACATTCTACTTCACTCAATGCAATTGAGAACAATTAGAAGAATATCAACTAAACTTGATTAAAAAATATAATTTTCTATCTGATTTGTAGTTTAAATTTGGCTTTATTAACTTGTAAACATCAAATGCATGCAAATAATACTTTGCACATGAACTTGAGGGTGTTGTTTTCTGCATCTTGAAAAGATATTCTTATGTTGAACTAAAATACACATTTTTTCTTATTTTCTTTCGTTATGTAAACAATTTAAATTTACAATAAAAAAATTATCAAGCAAGCGAAAAAATAATTGCAACACTGTTGTTTAAATTAAAGGTTGAAAGCGAAGTAACCTATGTTTAAATGTAACCTTCTTTCGAAGAAGTAAATATATCCTTATTCGTATTACTGTAAAAACCCTGATTGATTGAATACAAGTTTACAATGACACTTACATGTGAGAAGTCGAGGCCTTCCACGCAGTGTATATACAGCAACATTTCCTGTACGTTTATAAAGTTGTCGAATTTTACAAACAAAAGTTTTCTCTACAAATAACGCTCGAATTTTCGTTTGTCGAATTTTATAAACAAACGTTTTCCCTACAAATAACGCTCCACAAGTTTCCTTAATGCTTGAAGCGTAAATAAGTTCATGGTAAATAACCTTCCACDGAARATCGTCCGATAACCTCTTCATTTTAATCAGTAAACTAGTAAAATCAACAAAGAACAGCCTACGAACACTAAAAGCGATTTAAAGTGCGCGCGCTTGTCAGTGTTTGTCACGCTATTTATTTTTCAACTGTTTCGTTGTAATTGTGAGCTGAGAAAGTTAAGTTAAACCGAAACTAGTTTTTACAATAAGTTCGTTTTGTAGTGCGATCACAAACCGTAGGAATTTAGCCCACAGACATACATTAACCATGGTTTTTATACTTGGATAATTTTACCCGCTTCAAGCTGTGCCAGGTTACCAAGTGGTCGAGTGAATGACGGTCGAGTGAAAGCTTAGCATCCGATAAAAAATTCGAGAGTTCGCACTCATTTGAAATCGGGTGTAATACTTTTGCAAGTTTAACAAGAAAAAGATGGTTGAATTTGGTATGCTTAACTCGATTAACTCGATTAACTCGAGGTATGGCACAGTTAAGGATGTAAGGACCAATTGTAAACCTTTCATTTTTCTTAACAGATGCCTTGATTTGAAGACTTTTCAATAAAGATTTTTTCTTTCTAAATATTTGGCAGTCAAGTCACGTTGAAAGAGCTTTGTTTTCTCTAAAGGCTGAGGGCCAGTAGAAGTAAAGCTAAGTAAGAGTTACTGTATTTTCTGCTCGGACTCGCAAAAAAGATTAAAAACGGAGGCTATGCGCTAGAAGTGCCATGTGCTTATGGCGATGAATTTTCGATAAATTGGCTCAAATCCAAACTAGAAATAAGACCATAACACATAATTCAGTTCCATGTATAGTTAGTCTTACATTCATTCGCAGCTTGTTGAACGTACTGACAACTTTGAAAAGCTGTCCGTAAGTAGAACTGTCCGCTTATGGGAGCGTCCATAAGCAGAAAGTCGACTGTATAGTCGTCTAGAGGAACGATTGTTCAGTAGACGATTTCAATCTATATTTTTTATTTGTTTCGAATTTGTTCTTGTATACAAACAGTCAAATTAATATGTTTGANTCATTATATCATTATTCGATTAATAATCTTAAATTTATGTTTTAAAGGAATGCATTCATCTCATCTTTGACTCAGCAACTACTGTCTCCATGGCAATAGTCGAACTCCAAAGTCGTGGATTATGGRTGCCAGGCAACAGGACCAGCAAGGACCTTAGTTCCAACAGAGAAAGATTGTACAATCAAGCAACGAAAGTGAGAAGCTAGTGAAAATGCTAAGATTTTCATGATATATGTATGCTTATTATTACAGTTTTTGTGCCATCTTGAAAGGCAACCATGCCTTTTGCAGCGAAGCGAGGCGACCGTCGAGCTTGCATTGATAGAAATCTTCTTTCACACGTCACTGTTATCTGTCATTATTATCTGTCACTCGCTTCAATGAAAAGGTACACACTGCCACCTTTCAAGATAGCTATGGGAACCTTGAAGAAAACGACTGCTTTCATAAGTGGCTTTACCATAAACYCTGCTCAGGTTGAGAAGCTCTGCTAATAATGGCAGAGTAGTAGATTGGCTAAAGATAATGGAGAGTTATAGCGGAGCTCCCGCGCGGCCCGGATTCCGTGTACCACCACAGGAAACCCATACTCCGCTCGAAAAGGAAACAAAGCGCCAAGTATTTGTTGAAAAATCGAATTTTTTTCCTTAAGCATTTATAATATTACATATTGATAATATTAGAACAATTAATAACAAGGAAAAAATCCACTGAAGAGCGAAATAACAGCACAGAAATATTCCCGCCAATTTTGTCATAACTTCGACGCGTCCACACATCCGGGAAATCGATTTACGAAGATGAAAAGCAATTTAGGCCCATCTTAAAAGTGATATTAGAAAAAAGGATTTTACTTTGATATTTCGACAACAAGAAAGAGATGATACTTTATTGGAAATACTTCAATAATATGGACCAATATGGGAAAAAGCAGGGATCTATGCGAAGTTCTTTTGTCGACTAAAAGTGTGGACATTTCGAAACCAAGAACACGCTAGCAGTTAGATTGAGAGAGATTAAAAACAAAGAATCTACAGTCTTGAATGACTTAATAAATTGGTGAAACCTATGCTTGAAACAAATATGGCTCTGTTGAAGATGACCTTTGAACCAGAGGAGGCCGGACACTCCTCCGAAAAGGATTATGGTACAGAAACCAGCCAATCACGAGTCCGCTTTCAACTTTGCGCGGCATGAGATTTCTACACAGAAAAAGGTCATACCAAGACCACAAAACAGGCGATTTTGGGGACTATTCGATATAATTTTTTCTTGAAACTCTTGGAGCTCAAAGTACATAAACATAGGTTGAACATATTGAAAGATTACGACCAGAGAAGGAAAACATCGACTAAAAACAAGGCCTTTGAATCACGAAGTGTAATACGCGCTATTAGCTCGAAGATCGCTTTCAAGTAGGAATGTTTAAGGCATGAGAACTTATATGTTTTTAAAGATTTAATGWCAGATTATCACATGTATAGAAAGATGAAAGAATAAACTTTGATTTAAAGCCGGCGGCCCACCCCGACCCACCAATAGTTTCTMAGATATAGGCATTTCAAAATGGTACAAAATCGTCATTCTATGGTTGTGTAATCTGATTCTTGACGTGAATGGTAACCGCCAACTACAAACACTGAGGTCAACAGATCATCGTAGCTACTGTGCTAAGATCTACTAAAAATCTTGTCTTTAAGCAATATTGAGAGCTAATAAAAGCAAAAAAGATGTAAAATATGTTTTAAATTGTTTTGCTTGAGGAAAAATCGAGTTTTTCGAGGAGTTATTTATAGTGCAATAATATAAACAAAACGTATCTGTTTTATATTTGATTGAGTGTCACTTTTAGTAACGAAGCGCTTCAAATTATCATCAGACAACGTTTTTAGGATTTTCGAGAGAATTTCATTGCAAAGTTCCTTGAAATTTCTTTATTAGTCGGACTAGCCGAAGGCGGGTCCGACTTTAAATTTACCTTTTAGCCAATCTATCTATCTATCTATGTGTCATGTCGTGTTTGGACCACCGGAAGTTAAGAATTTAATAATTAACTATTGGGTTGGCTGTGTTATTACATGACCGGAAGCTCAAGCGTATTTGATGTACGAATATCGTTAGTAAATGTCATCTCATCGGAATGCGTCTGTCTAGGCATTAGAAGTACGCGCATGTGCAGATCGCATAGAGTTTCGAGTTGTATGCTTAGAAAACTGAATCAATATCCTTTCTAGTGTTAGACAGTCTTGTGGGGGTAAAGATTTCAAATTAGAACAAGAAGAAACTTTGTTTATCAATAACAGAAAGGCGAATTTAATGATTTTATAGGCATCTTTTTCCTTGTAAAGTTTTTATTTTCTTTGCCTGAGAGGTCAACGTTTTAGATATCATATATCACTTAGCGAGACACTTGTCTGAGTAGTTGATTTTATCAGTCAAAGCAAGCCACGTTCTTATCGCCGATTTAATTACATGACCTTTTAGGTCAAGTTTATTTAAAGTCTCAATATATTTTGCATATTTTGAACTAGACGCTCTTATTAGACCGTGAGTTCGGCTGTTTTGGAAAAAAAAGTTAAGAAATATTTTTATCCATGTAATATCCTGTCTTTCTCAATTTTCACAAGCAGCTAGTCCGACTTCACGCTGCCAGACCGTCTAGTTCAATGTTTTAAAGTCTACTAATTCATTAGCAATAAGAATAAAATTAATAAATATGATCCTTGGTGAAATAAAGCGTCCATTTACAGTGGATGTTGTCACTCTGACGGTCAAGCTCAAATGAATTAAAATTCATATCCGGACCATAATCCTTTTCGGAGGGGTGGCCAACCTCCTCTGCTTTGAACGATAATATATCGGAAGTTCGATAATGAAGGTAAAAAATATATTTTTGTATACAGTTTTCTGTGATATGTGAAGTTCGAGTAGTCCGGGTTCAAACATCGATTATTGAAACAATGTTGATTATTGTAAGCTTATGTAGACTACTTTTTGCCGAGAAGCTTTCAGTTTACTTTTAATCAATTGACCTTTATAAATTATAATTTTAAACTTCATCCAACGGAAACGGAACAAAATCTACCGAAGTCAATATTAGTACGAACTAAATTCTCATAAACATACTCTTTATAATATTTGTTCGCATGTCAACAAAAATGTTGTAGCTCACATTCCTTAGAACAGAGCATCTACCTTTGAAATAGAAGTACTAGATAATCATTTTCAGCTTCTATATTGCTATTGGAGCTCCGCTATTAGGTGTTACCTAATTTTTATATTAGTAGATTTAGCGAGTTGATTTAACTAACTGACTGGTCGAACATCGATTTGCTGTTCTTGATAAAGTTTCAAGCTTCGCTTTATAGCCTTCCAGACTAATTTGCTTTTTTTTATTTCTTTTAGGTAAGTTTCAATGGCTACACAGGACATGTAAAGTTGAACAGCAAAGGAAGACGACTTCTAGAAACTCTTGAAATATTGAACTTAAGAAAAGACGCATTTGTCAAGGTAAGACAAAACTAATATCTTGACAGCTGTTAGAATTCTGCTCGAAACTCAATTTTTATGTCAAGGGAGTGAGAATTTGAGAAGAATCTGAATCCAAGTGTGCTAATACTTTTAGATTGAAAAAAAAAATCATAGACAATATTATTAAACAATAACAATAAATGGAAGTTGTTCACCATCTCCCACCCCTTTGGATTATATCATGATGGGGGATTAGGTTTATAAGTGTTTTCAATTTCAATCAGGTTGGAAAGTGGGTCAAATCATCTCCTCGTCATTTTGCCGGRCAAATATTACCAAATGTTATCAAGTCATCAAATGGAAGTTCCCTTCAAGGACGCCATCTGTCAGTTGTAGTAATTGTGGTAATGATATTTAGAATAATATTTAAATAAAAGAATAGCAAACCACTAGCCTAGGAAGAGGGGAGTGGAGGGAAGCGGGCGTTGTATGATGTGCCGGTAGTCGTAGCTTATCAGCTACGGCCCCCACACCACCGGTCATTYTTTAGAAGGCAGCACAACAAATTGCATTTTAGGCATGATTCATTGCCGACGAATGTTATTAGGGATACATAATCTGCTCTGTAAGCCAAAGGATGCCAATAGGCGATATGCATTATGGCATCATTTACTACAACTACCATAATGCTTTGAAAACTTTCTTTTGTAATGCAATTAGTGCCAATTATTTTATTTATCTCCAAGGGGATTAAAAATGGTAGTTGTAGTAAAGTTACGTCATAATGCAAACGGCCTATTTCGAGAGAGACGTGCAGTATAACTATGGCGCTTACCTTCTGTTTATGTGCTTACAGAGGATGTAGACAGGAGGGAGCTATTTAACCCGATGACTGTCAACAGTGAATGAATCCTAAGCATGTATACTTAATAGTAATTCTGATTGCTAGCGCTATATTGTGACAACGATACTGACAAACTAATCAAATTTCTCTTTAGTTGGAGCCATTTGTTTACAAGACAATCAACAATGATAGCTCAGTACAYTACACAGGCTTCCTTGTGGATCTGCTTAAAAAACTTGCTGGTGATTTGAAGTTTTCTTATGAGATTCACGAATCGTTGGATGGGCAATATGGGCTTGAAAACAATGGAGAGTGGAATGGCATGGTTAGGGAACTTATCGACGGGGTGAGATGCGTTAGATGAAAGTATATCACGTTACTTTTAGTTTACAAAATAGAGAAACGAAATAAAGAACAATAAAACGAAATACCGAATAAACAAATAACGCATCGAATAATTATTTTTARCTGTCCTTACTTTAGAAAGCAGACATGATTGTGAGTGATTTAGTCGTAACAGAAGCAGCYGAAAAGGTTATCGACTTCGCATTCAGCTATATGTATTATACAGAAGTAATCGCCATGAAAAAGATCGAAATCAAGACCAATGATTATCTGCAATTCTTGATGCCTTTTGATGCTGAGGTCTGGATAGCTCTTGTGGGAGCGCTAGTCGTCTTTACAATAAACCTTTTCGCATTTAACTACTTTAGTCCTTATGGATGGAAAAACGAGCAGGGAACAAAGACGTCTAAGGAATTTAGTTTGTTTAACTGTTTTTGGTTTTCATGTTCTTGTATGCTGCAGCAAGGACCAGAACACACACCTAAATCTATATCAGGTAAGCTCACTTGACAATGAATCTAAACGACAAGCATGAGAATGATTCTTGCCTGAGAAGTTGTCAAAAACTGTCTGGACAAAATGAAATCGCAAATCTAAGAAAAACGTGCATTAAAATGTTCTCTTAACTGTTTRAGGCCGTCTTCTCGTAGGCTTTTTCTGGTTTACTGTCCTTGTATGGGTCTCAACGTACACAGCAAACTTGGCTGCTTTTTTCACTGTAGTGTCTAAGGAACTACCTATCAATAATCTTGAGGACGCCTTCAACTCCAACTATCAGCTCGGCGTGTCTAATCGATCGTACTTGGTGGATTTCTTTAAGAATACACAGGTAGTGATGTTCATTTTCCCTCAAGTCGTATACAAGCTGAAGCAATGTTGTTGAAATTCATTGTTTCCAGCAAGTTACGAAATGGGGAGCGTGAAATCCTGTAATCTCTGACAARCTTGAGGCAGTCGGAACTAGAGACGAAGCTCAGGGACATATTCTTTCGGAAAGTTTGAAATAGTCTTCTTCACAGTTGCCTGCGCTTGAAAGTTATAATATGTGCCTTTGCTTCGAAGTGAAACTACCGTTGAGCGTGCAATGACAGATACCTGTGATGTGTGAAAGAAGATTTCTATCAATGCAAGCTCAACAGTTGTCTCGTTTAGATGTAAAGGCATGGCTACTTTTTAAGATGGCGCAGGTAACCGTGAAGGAGACTATTGAAGTCATTGGAAATGCAAATTTTAGCATTTTGAAGGATTTTGACAGAGAGGTTTTTTAATTATTCAGAAAAAGGGGATTCCTGGAATTCGCTTCACTAACATACCTTTTCGACATATTTATCGTGCATTAGATTAACAAGATATACACAATGTCATCTGTTTATTAGATAGACTTTTACAAAAGGGTGTGGAAAAGAATGAGCAATCTACCTGCCAATAACATTGAGGGCATGAAGTGGACCCGCGAAAAGCGATACATACATCTTGGAAACGGACCTATATTGAACTTCCAGGCAAGCAAGAAACCTTGCGAATTGGTCACGTGTAAGTAAATTSGTTTTGAGGAGTAAATGATCTGAACCCAGATGTAAGAGATGCAGGTGTTGCATCGTCGTCCGGTTGTGAGAAGTCTTGAGACACTTACCTGACGTTAGTAGTATACAAAATAGGGGTTCAACGCCAGGCGGATCATGGCGGATTGCGGATCGGACAAATTAGCCTAATTAGATGCGACAAAACAATGGAACAAGGTYAACGGCGGATCATGATCCGCCGTAGAGTGATGTTGTATGTTGCTAGGGTGACTGCATGCAAATGAGGCAAAAGTGATAGGGGAGGGGTGGTCAAAACGAGCTGTAGGTGGCAATTCATTATCATAAAATTGTGGGCCACTTTTGTGTTGGTAAATTGTGGGCGATCTAATTATGCTGTGTTGGTAAATCAAGGAGGGTAATTATCATAAATTGTGGGATTCATATACCATGAAATTACTATTGTTCCTGAACAAATGGCTGCCTGGACCTGCCTGAATAAAACACAACATAAGTTATTCAAAGTCACGTGGTTTCTTGAGCGTGAAATCGCTTGCCTCATCATTTATGGAGTTGCTTTCTCATGTCAACATCGACTTATTTGTCGGCAATCTAAATATGCAATGTTGGTAAAATTTTATGTCAAGGTTCAACGATCGCATAAATTACTATCCAGTGAAGAAAAGGTTAATGATAACCTTTGTTCTGAGACAYTAYGTCACKTGCTAAAGGAGTTTTCATTATCCAAATATTATGATTTTCAATATTTTTACATTTCTAACTAATCATAACTAGATCTCACTTTTACTACTGTGGCATTTATTACTTGAAAAAGCTTCCGAGAGGCCCGGAAAGGCCCGGAAAGGCCCGAAGCTGACCGGAAATGGCACAGTTATTCAGTAAGTCAGTCATTCAGTCAGTCATTCAGTTATTGCAGTCAGTCAGTCATTTATTCAGTTATTCACGATGTCATGTCGATGTCGTGTCGATGTGATGTCGATGTCGTGTCGATGTGATGTCGATGTGGTGTCGATGTGATGTCGATGTGATGTCGATGTGATGTCGATGTGATGTCGATGTCGTGTCGATGTCATGTCGATGTCATGTCGATGTCATGTCGATGTCATGTCGATGTCATGTCGATGTGATGTCAATGTAGGGTCGATGTAGGGTCGATGTCAGGTCGATGTAGTGTCGATGTAGGGTCGATGTAGGGTCGATGTCAGGTCGATGTAGGGTCGATGTAGGGTCGATGT